CAGTCTCTCCATTAAACAGCCACTGAAGACAATGCACGCATACAAGGATCGTTTATGGGTTAATAGTTGACATGTAGCTTACACATTTTTAATTATTTGTAATGCTGACAATCTACCAGACATGGTATGAAATATAAATCATTCAAAATTTGTCATTAACTTTGTCTAATCACTTCTTATTTAAAAGACTTAGGTTAACACCACTCCTGAGGCTTCAAAATAAAAGCACATGCAGCTCATCTGTCAGACAAGAAATATTTATAAGTGCATTAATGGTTTTGAAAGTCATTTTGTAATTTTGAAGAACATTTGGACTCTGTCCCCTTCACTACCAGATATTTGACTTTACCATGTACCTTTTTACTTTCAATGGTTTAATAGACAGATGAGAAGACTTTATGTAAAGCTGCTTGATTGGGCTTAAACAACGGTGGGGTGTTACTTTTGAATTATAATGATTGCATTATGATTGCAATATAGAGTTTGACCAAGTTCTGCACAGAATTTCTGAATTCTTTCAGAAAGCTTTTTCCTTCTTGCTCCATCAACAATCTGGTCATTAAAAACTGAAATATCAATAACAGTCAGTACAGCAAAACCACAAAATGAGAGGATATTGTGTGTCATTTATCTGCCGAAAATTTGGTCTTATACTGCCCTGTGAGGGGCATAACTTTGTTAATCGAATGAGTACTACAGCCAATATATTACATTATATTCTTCTGGGTATCTTGCTCAAGGAGTGGAGGAGCAGGAGACTGAACCACCAGGAGACCTTCTGTTAGCGAACAAGTGACCAAGCAAGTGAAAAAGAGATGAAATATTCAGCAGATGATGAAACTGCTCCATGTGTGATCAAACGGCTGTGCTGAAATGCTTCTGAGGTTGTGAGGGATCTTCCAGCAGCACTGAACCAGGCTGTCACAGATGCAGACATACATGAATATAAAGTGCTTAAACTTCAATATGCTCACACTCATATTTTAAATGTTACAATGTTTTATTATGTATGTATTATGTATTATGTATTATGTAATTCTACATACAGTAATAGTTCAAAACACTGATGTGTGACTTTCAGTTATCATCAGTTCAATGTGAGCGTGGCTCCTTTAAAATTCCCTAAGGTAAAAAGATCTGTATTGTCTCTAACATACAAAAACATTTAAATTCAGCGCGCATGTGATGGATCAAAATGTATTATTTAATTTGAATAAAAAGGATCAAACGAGATTCATAAATTCATGATCGAGATCAGCTGATATGAACATATTGTCTTCTCAATACCCCTTTGTTATTCTCTTTGTTATTCTTACCCTGTCAAAGGTCCCGTCAAATATCACCTGTGTAATTGAAAATGTAGAAAAAAGAAGAACTTTGCACGCTGGAGTCTGTATTTTATACCTATTTAATTAATTAGATAGATTGTTTAGCACATCTGCTTTTTCATACAACTTGTCATGGCCTTTAGGGGCTTTTACGCCGTGTGGGCAGTGGACACTTTGATCCAAAATGAAGCGTGTCATTTTTGTTCGCAAGCAAAGGGCAAAATAAGTGAATAACTTGTGTTCAAGGCTCCAGCAGCAACAGTTACCAGCTGCAGTAAATAAATGAACCAACACAAACAGACACACTCACAGAGTTGATGCAATCGTATACTTTTTTTCCAAACATGAGTCAGGTTTTCTAAAAGCTGAGGGTCGACGCACAAGCTTCACAATTCCAAACAGATTTAGTATATTAAAGTGCAGAACATGGAGACTGTTGCACGCACATACACACAGAATGCACAAAAGTATGTAGATGCATTGCTGTTATACAGCATCACATCTGTCTAATGCTTGTGAACACCAATAATTCATATGCTAATTATAAAATTTCACACAAAACTCTAAAAGGATAAAATGATGAAGTGATGACAATTTCATATCCAAAATGTGTGACGACCCCTGCGGTCCTCTTGGGGTTTCATTGTCCCGTACTGATCTTTCTCTGTCAGGTGGCTGATTGGTGGATCTGGAACACCTGTGGTCCCCAGGGTGTTCCAGGGTGCAGAAGTCATGGCTGCAGACTAACCACTCTCCCTCTGCTCATCTCCACAGACACAACACATCTTGGCCTTTGTGATGTTGCCTTAGTTTACTCTTTATGTTTTGTTCTGCGTATTACCACACTCGCAACCGTATTCCTCACTCATACACACAACACACTATTTAATTTGGTGCTTTAATTTAGTTTTAATTTCGGTTTACTAAAAGTATTCTTGTTTACCGCGGTGTGTCTGCCTTTTGTTGTGGCCACTTGAGCCAGGACGCCACAAAGGTCAAAGGTCAACTTCACTGTGACACCATAATTTTCTGCAAAACTACTTTTCGAGTCATTATTCAGCGCTGTGACACAAGAACAGTTGGGAGATTGTGACCATATTTGACACTAATCTTGAAGCCGTGGTGACTGTATAGATCTTCTGTGCTACCGGGTTGAGGATGTGTGTGTAGCATCCGTGTTTCAGAGTTTGTAGCTTCTTTGCAGCAACACTGTCGACTGTCATGGCCACAGCTTTGTGTTCTGATCAGAATCAGAGATCTACTGGCCAAGCATGTTTCTCTCAATGAACTTACACACTAACAGAGTGATCATACAGCAGGACAAGAAGAGCAAAGCTTAACAAAGTCAAGTCAAATCAATTTTATGTATACATACATCCCTGTGTCACAAATCCAAAAATATATGTTTAATCTTTTTTGATGAATTTCCTTCAAAGTCTTCACTACGTACTCTTCAAAGCCTTAACTTCAAAGTCTTCACTGCATAAAATTCCTTCAAAGGAAAAGTCTGAGACCACTATTCCATTCAGGAAAGTGGTCTGAGACTTTTGGACCTCACTGTATATCATATGAGTCTGGACACACATGGATGTAAGCTGCAGCTTGACTGCTTGCCAGAGGTGCACAACCAAGAGAGGTGATTCTAATTTTCCAAGTGACTGTACTGACAAGTCCTTTCCACTAGGGGGAGATGTCATTATAGGATGGATTCTGCTTCAGTTCTACTTCCTCTCTACCATTATCCAAAATACCCACCTGCAAGTTGGGGACAGGACTGTGGTGCAGTCCTGCAGCCAGCAACATAGTGATATACAAGGCCCAACAGGGTTTGAACGTCTCTTAAAGGTTTGACTAAGAGGATGGAAAGATGATGTAACATTAGTGAATGAAAGAGAGGCACATCATTTACGGTTAACTGTGATCAAAGTGATAATCCGTTATGTACTGTAGGTGTCTGTGTGTCTGTTTTGGGTCTGTGTGCGTGCATGCACGTACAGTATTGTGCGTGTGTGGGGATTTTAGAGGAGCCTGGGGCAGGGGAGGGAACAAAAAAGGAAATCAATAGCTGGTAAAGTTTAAATTGCCGTAAATTGCAGACTGGGTTGAATACTGTATGTGTGTTCTCAGTCTGTAAAGATTACTTTTTTTTTCTTTTCCAGTGCTAAGATAGCATCATAGACAGGAAGCTGTCTCCAGAGGGAGGAGGCCATGTCAGAGCTCAGACTCCTGTACGCTGCTGATCTCCCTGGAATCAGAAAGGTCGTACGAGTTCATAAAGAGTGAGTTAATCTGTGATGTACTGTGGGTTATTAAATGTGATTTGCTTTAATTAGTCATTCAAAGAGCAAAACATGCTGATATTCTGCTGACTGCAAACTATTTATTTATTATTTATGACCAACAAAATCTCCCTGATCTCCCTGCTTCACTGTCCCAAACATTCACCTGTACCTGGCTGTGCTCTGTCCGTGGTCACATTTGTGGAGTAAACTGAAAGATTTCATTCTTAATTCAAGGAACTGACATCACCAAGAGCCCTCAACTGTGTGTCTCCAGTTTAGAAGTATACCTGGACATGTTCACAAGTCAAGACCGTACATGACGACGTCCGCTGAGCCTGTTCCATGATGAATTTTTCCTTTGAAGCTGTATCAGATCTGGCTTCAACCCCGGAGACGAAGACAGCCGAAGGGGAAAAGTTGGGACATGGGGAAGGAAGTTGAGCTGTTGAGCGATGAACATGACAGCAGGGAGGATGAAGGGGGAAAAGAGGAGCTGCAGAACAAACGGGAGTTCAGGGGAGGAAAGGCTGGTGGAAATGATGAATCCACATCATAAAAGTAATGAGGAGGAGAGTGGTATCCCAGGGGATGGAAGATATAAAAAACAAACTACAGTCAGGCTTCTGTCAAACAAAGTGTAAAACTATCATCTGCACAGATCCATCACCATGGGTCTTTGGGTTTGATTTACAGCCTCATTTTCTGGTACATTAAAAACATCTAAATCTATTTTATTTACATATTTCTTTTCTGCCTAATGTCCCAAGGATACATATTAGAGTTATGCCTGCTGCCTGTGTGTGTGTGTGTGTGTGTGTGTGTGTGTGTGTGTGTGTGTGTGTGTGTGCTTAGGTGAAAGAGAGTGACTCTGTATTCCTTTATGTGTACTTACATGTTCCTTTTTGAGCTGTGATGGGACTCCAAGTGTTCCCCTCTTGAAATCCTCCATCAATCTCAAAATACATGAGTCAAAAACCTCAGTGTTACATTGCAGTCTGATCTACTTTCACAGGACAATCCTCAGTTGGATGACAAAGTGTCACTACAGAGTGCAGAGCAAGGTAAAGTTTGAGTTACAGGGTGTCCTTGGTGCTCTGGGATGTGATGGTGGTAAAGAAATCTGCAAGAAAATCATGTGAAACAACGTGAGGGAGGGGGAGACAATGAGCTTGTGCTTGAGTCAGAGCTGGAGGGAGGATTCTGACTAAAGAGAAGGGTGTGTGAGGGTGAGAGCAGGACGTAATGGTATGGAAAAGACAGTGAGGGAGTAAAAAAAAAAAAAAAAGTGGGTGGGGACGGGTGTGTGTTTGAGAGAGAGAGAGAGAGAGAGACCTGTTGGTATAAAAGCTCCCTCTCTCAACATGCACTCCCACATCTCCTGTGTATTTTTTGTGGTGGGGGGCCATAGTTGTGTGTGTGTGCGTGACTGTGTTTAAAAGGCAAGCGGAGTGTGTGTTTGTGCCCTTTGCAGTTACAGAGGACTCATAACTCCCCAGGATGCATCAGCTGCTAGTGGTGACCTTAGTGCTGGTGGCACTCTGCTGCCTAGGGAACGTGGATTCTTCAGCTTATGACAAGATAGTGACCCACAGTCGCATTCGGGCCAGGGGTAAAGGGTAAGGAGATGGGACATGGGAGACAAAAGGGGAGAAGTAGAGAGAAAGGAATCATTGAGAGGGGAGAGAGAGAGAGATGACACATGACAAATGTAAAGAACAGTGTGACAGTTATTGGCTTTTTCTGTTTTGTTTTTTTTTTTACTTTTAATTTTGAGCAGATAACTGGTGATATTAACAGTCCTGACCATTTTATGTTTTGCATTTGTCTGCAGATCTAAGAGCATAAATTGCATGATTAGTAACAGGCTGACGTACGTGAAGTGCTATGCATGTCGTATTTTTCTTGTTTGTGCTGCATAGAGCACTAGATGATGATTTGAGAAACAGGTCAGCCACATTGATGAAAATATTGATTCAAGCCATGACGGAAAATTCAATATTGCCTCTCACGTTCATTCTCTCTTCTACATAAATATATCTGCTCAATTTACAGTTTGAAACGTTTGATTCTGAATTTGATTTTTTCATCCATGTTTGAGAAAGTTATCTTTTTTCTTTTTTCTTTTTTTTTTTTTACTTTTTGTGATTCGACAAACTAAGGATGAAAGATTTATTCTTCAAATTATTGGTTCTTCAAAGCAAATGAAAGTATTCATTGTTAAGAAACATGGTACATAAGCCTTAGAGTGTATGAATGACATTTTCTTTCTTTACCTGCATGCACCCATCCCTGTTTCACACCCTTTCTCTAACCTACCCCCTCCTCTCCTCTCATCTCCTCATCCTTTCCTCTTCACCTTACCTGTCTCTCTCTCCCCTCCCACTGTCTTTGTCCTCCCACATCCCTCCTCTCGCAGACCCAACATGTGCGCTCTGCAGCAGGTCACTGGGACCAAGAAGAAGTACTTCAGCACATGTAGGAACTGGTACAAAGGCACCATCTGTGGCAAGAAGGCGTAAGTCTGACATGAATGGATCAAATTATATGTTTTTATTTCATTTGCATCAAAACCACTCCCTGCTTCCACACACATCATGCACATTAGTAACTCTGAGTTTTCTAATTAGTCAGATAAACATTAAGTACTCAAATTTTCTGCACATGTGGATGGATTTCACCTCTCATCTGTTAAGTGGTCACTTTTTTTTTTTTATTCTGGTTCAAACAGCAGAGGTCAGCTCTGTCTGACCCCAGCTGTGTGGACCCTCGGGCTCTTTTTGTCTCAGCTGTCTGAACATGCAGCTGTTCTCACTTTCCTCTCTGAACCTTCACAAAAAAAAAAAAAAAGCTACAGATTTCACAATGATGCCGATTGAATATTTATATTTTAAAGAGACAGGACCATTCAATATCCCCTCATATGTTTTTCCCTTTATGAGTAGATTTCACTCTTATTCTCTTACACACAGAATCTCTCTATATACAGTATAACTATCTGTCTCTCATTGGCCCCCCCCTCCCTCTCCTTACAAGTCTGAGCATGCTGTGTAACCTGCGGCTTGGTGCACTTTCTATTGTGGGCCTGCATATGTTGCAAACTCTGCTGAACAGTGAATGATACCTCACTTCCCCTTTGACACGTTTCAGGTGCTAAGAAAAAAAAACAACTGTCTATATGCTTGTAGTGTACGTGTGCAGCTAAGGGAAACTGAGAATATACTGCAGCTCCACTTTCACCAGATTTGGGGTCTTGGCAGGGGTAGCGAGTACTTGATATGCTGTGCCTGTGTGTATGTGAGTCTCACACAGATTTTTTATTTTTTATTTTTAGCCAAACTGTCCATCTATGAGTGAGATGTAAGAAGCTCCTGCTAAGATAAATTTGATAGCAGCAGTTTAACTGGAGTTTTGTGTCTCACAGTGAGGGGGTGTTAGCTGTTTCAGAATTCCCTGATGAACAACCATAAAAATGAGTTTTGGCTGGTGTAAAAATGCCGAATTTCAAGATCTTAACAAGCCAAAAAAATGTGAATTTGTGAACTGCGTGAATGGTTTTAGATTTTTGGGCTTCCGCAAGACGATTTCTGTCAGTCTAATATTTTCTTGATTTCGTGATATGATGTGCAGATGAGTAGATGTTAGGGAAGAGTAGGTACAGCTGCTGTCGTGTTGATGGAGTGTAAGGCTCGGCTGGAGCTGTTCTGCATCGTAGGTGACTAAAGTGTAGCGGGAGATTGGAAAAAGAAAAAAGCATGCCCTTTACTCACATCCTCTCAATCATACACACACACACGCACACACACACACACACACACACACACACGTACATACAAGAAGACACATGCAGACACACATTCATACACCTTTGCTTTGTCATGCAATCAGCTGTAACACCTGCCGCTGTGTCAGGATTAGCGTGAAAATGAGGAGCTGTGAGGGAGAATGGATAAAAGAGTGACTCAGTGCAGTGCACAGTACAGTGATAGACCACACCAAGATAATACTACATGGAGCCACCCAGCAATTACGATAAAAGAACATAATATGAGGGTACACAGAAGGAGTTTAATGAGGGTTTCTGCACTGGATACCAAACACATTTAATTGTTTTTGTTTCTTGAGTTGCTTAGGTACGCTAAAAAAAAAAGTGTAAGGCATATTAAACACGTTTAAGGAAGTTTATTAAGTTGTGATAGAAATAAAGACAAAAAAAAATGGTCTGCCTTCCTAAACTGATTCTAAAGAAAACATTTATTCTACATACATCTACACTTCACATTTTCAACCTTAGCATGCATGTACATGAATGAATCAAATATACTCTGTGTATTCAAATTTGCATTTTGCACAGGGACACAAAGACACCGCTAAATATGAGCCACATTAAACTGAGTGAAAGAACAAAACAAAAGCCACATGCAAAAGCCAGAAAAGTGTCTCGCTTCCCCTCCGCCCGTGGTCACAGTGGGGACGTTGTTCGGCAGCGGTGGAGGAAATCCACCCAGCTGTGGTTATGTCTGCGCTGGATTTGGTGTTGATGAGAGATTAGGGAAGGGTGCTGGAGTCTACAGCGCGGCTGTTTGGTCGCTGCGCTGTGGTGTATGAACAAGCCTGTGTTTCAACAAGCTCTGAGAGTGCAGCATTTTTGAAGTAATACCTGGACCCGATCTCTTAGAAACCACTAGTTTAACAGAGGATAAATTATGCGGATGTGTATTCAACCTGCACTGTGTTCGTCTAATTATCTCCCCATTAGGAGTTAAATGACACCGTGGGGATTTCTTAATGCTTTCATTTCCATAAAGAGCTCTTGAAGTGAGCTGCTGGAGGTTCAGGTGGAAGCAATTTCCCTGCATGTTGTGATGTGCTGTAGGTGACGGACACAACATGCAGGGAGCAGCGGGCGCAAGCTTACAATCCGGCTTCCAATAATAACACCATAATAATGGTCTGATGAGTGTTAAAGCCCCAGCATGGCGTCTTCTGTGTCGGTCGTCGTGTATAAAATAGAAAAAATGTTGGCACAGTGTTCAGGAAGCCATTGGCCACTTGATGAGGACACAAGAGAGACTCATGCTTGTTGGTTACATAACAGGAAAACAGTCATTTTTTTTTATCTGATGCCAGACAAGTGTGCGGTATTTGTTTTTGTGCACTCATGCCCTGTGTTTGCACATCTGCTCATCTGGAAGCCACATTGAGCTGGTTCATGCGGTGACACTGCCAGAGGCCCCTGGTTGCAGCGCATTGGCCAGCTCTGTCTCTGGTCTATACTGCATCCATTACCCTGTCAGAGCTGCAGCTGGGAGAGCAATGACTTCATGCCTTCCTGACAGCCAGCTGTGCACGGATATATTTATGTGTTTTACATTATATCAATTAGTGTCAACACATAGAATGATTGTTCTATAAGCAACATGGCAAAGTCACAATATTTAGTATCGCCACACATTTTTCCAGAAACACACAAACACTGATTCGAGTGGATTAGAGAGGTTTGCCAAAATATGTGAGTCATTTTAGGGAGTTGATGGGAGAAAGTGAGTGATTTCTTTCTTTTTTCTTCTTTAATGTGTGTGTGTGTGTGCACTGTATGCTTTGAAGGGAATGTTTTGTGTTTGCATAACATGTCACTACTGTTCATTTCTGAAAGGAAAGGAAATAGTTATTTGCTTTGGAGGTGAATTCTGCAGAGAAAGAAGCACAGAGTTCATATAGAAACGCAGTATTTCCATGGGAAATAAGAAAGCAGGAAACCTTAAAACTCTAGCCCCGAATGCAGGCGATGTGTAATAGGCTCCGTGCACACCTCTCTGAGCAAACCTCTTTAGGAAACCCACTGAAAGCTCCAACTGGAACCTATGAAGGGCTTCAGGTCAAACCCCAATTAAATTTATTCCAGCATTCAGGCTCTCTCTCTGGTGGATCATTGTTGAGTGGCCAATATTGACTCACTGCTGTTTTTTCTTTTGCATCTTGGAAGATGTGTGTTAACTTGGGACACGTCCCAAACAAATGTCTGCTTATAGTTATATTTCAATGAGGAACTGTTTTAAAAACATAATTTATTCCTCAATTTAACCTAAATTTTATGGAATATTGACTTGTGGTTCACAGTGTCAGTCCTCTCACATCCTAACCTGTCATTCACAACACAGCAGCGCAGTGAAACTCAGTTTCCTGTAAAGCTTATGGCTGATTGACGAGGGTCGACTGTGCAGCTCCCTTGGTGTGCTTAGTGTTAGCAGGTCCTCTCAGCTTCCTGCCAGGATGTTTCTACTCCTTTGAGCTCTGTTTTTACTAATTTTCATATAAGCTGCTCCTTCCAGCCTCGAAATCCAAATCTTTTAAATGGATACAAGATGTCGACTGTATATTAAGATGTTGTTTTTCTTGGAAAGTTCCTTGGGAATTAGATTAATGGCCAAGAGAAAGTGCAGGAGGGCAGCAGACACCCCTGTCTGGTTTTCATGTTGACATACTTACAGTATCTAGATGAATATAAAGTTTATACTGTAAATCCCAGCTTATCTCAGAAATGTGATGGCTGCGAGTTTTCATAAAATTTATAGACTATATAACTATGCTGTTAAGCTCTACTAATGTGACAGCCCACAGAAGTAAGTCTTTACATATTTTATTCAACAATAATTTTGAAGAGCGCATAAAATCATTTGGAGCTGTGGAGCTAGAGGCTTGCTCCCTGATCTCGTAGTTTGTTTGATATTGGTAATGCACAGCTTGTCAGTGTTATGAATATTCTTCTTCCCTTCTCAGGGGTTTGTTTTGATCCTGTTGCTGCTTCATGAATTACATACATTTTTCTTTTCGTTTGCTGGGTTTATTGCTGGCGCATGAGATATTGGAAATGACGTTGGCTGGTTCACTTGAGGCAAGTGTCTTGAGCTAGTCATTCTTTCTTTCTGTGATTGGCCTGCTGGGACTTGTGCGCCCTCTGCCAGTTTATGAACCACTTTCATATTGATGGTGTTTTTCTTGTCTTTTTCTTTTTTTTATTATTCTCCTTGACTTATTTGCCTTTTTGGATGTTTTCTTACACCCTCACTTCTTCTGCTCTAGCTTTCAAATGTACTTTGCCCAAGTATGGATTTGTATTTTGGTGAGTAAGACCCCCTCCTTGTTCAGCCTTGCTCTCCCGTTTCACATGTCTCTCAATCCAAGCCCTCGTCATTCTCTCCATCACAGCCCCAGAGGTTTTATCTTTTTTTCCTCTCAGCTGTCAATTCTGTTTAGTTCTTTGTTTCTCAACATGCATTGCATTTATATTACATCTTGCTCTCCTTTGTTTTTCTTTTTGCTGTTGCAAAAACAGTGGATCATTATAATGACCTGTACAGCTCTCGGGCTGTAGAAATCATTCTTTCTTACATTTTGTCCCTGGATAAAGTGAATCAATGTTTTTCATGATCAGCTAATTTACTGAGTTACTCACAGGTCTAATATGTATGTTTTTTTTGGGTTTTTGTTTGTTTTTTTTTTTGGCAGCGAAGTCATATATGAGTGCTGTCCTGGATACATGCAGCTGGAGGGCATGGTAGGATGCCCTGCAGGTAGGTGGCTCAAACCACAGGCCCCATGTTTTCCAATAATATTATTTCAGTAGCAACTGTCCCACATACGAGTTAATTCAAAGTCAAGTCAAAATTTCAGTTGATTGTTCCTCTACACTAGCCACTTTTCTGAGCATGAACAATCCCTCTGCTTCCCCTATCTAGTGGCTCCCATTGACCACGTGTATGGTACACTGGGGCTCGTAAAGGCTACGACCACACAGCAATACGCAGACATGTCCAAGCTGAGAGAGGAAATTGAAGGGAAAGGCTCCTTCACCATGTTTGCACCCAGCAACGACGCCTGGGATGCGCTTGACCCTGTGAGTAGAATGGGAGGATTCAAACATGTCTAGAGGAACACAAATAAATACACACACTCACACAGTTAGTTCCCTTTATCTAACGTTGTGCTTTCCCCCAGACTATACGGTCTGCACTGGTGAGCAACGTGAACATCGAGCTGTACAACTCTCTTCACTTCCACATGGTGAACCGTCGTATTCTCACCAAAGACATGAGGAACGGCATGACTGAAACTTCCATGTATAATGACCTTGGGCTCTACATCAACCACTACCCAAATGGGGTCAGTTTATCCACAGTGTAAAACATGCATGTAACTGTCTGTAATGACTTCTAACCCCATTGATTATTTTGGCTTATTATGAAATGCTCTTCTCTGTGAAGGTTGTGACAGTGAACTGTGCCAGGATCATCCATGGTAACCAGGTGGCCACAAACGGAGTGGTGCATGTGGTTGATAGGGTCATCAGCTCTGTGGGAAACACCATCAAGGAAATCTTGGATGTCAATGACGACCTCTCCTCCTTCAATGTAAATAAAAATGCACAGCACTCAAAACACACCGGGTTTCAAAGCCAACAGCACATTTTACTAATGGAACTGGAGTATAAAGTGTCAAGAAATAATATCAGAAGTAAAAGGTTAGCTCCAATTATGTGAGACACACTGTCCTGTCTTGTTTCCCAGGCTGCGGCGTTGGCTTCTGGTATGATGGACAAGCTGGACCAGCCTGGCCACTTCACTGTGTTTGCTCCCACCAATGAAGCCTTTGACAAGTTGAGCCCGGGCTACCTGGAGCGTATCATGGGAGACAAGGCTATTATTGCAGGTATATTGGACATGAGATACACTAATGATGTCATAAGCTACTAGCATACCATTCCTTTGGTTGATTTGGCGTGAAAAGGTTAAGAGCATTTGAATATTTTTAGCCATGCTGGCTGTTCAAGGGATGGCAATGTCAGCCAGTTGGAAGGTCAGTCCAGCACTTTGGTCCAGACTGAAATATCTCAACAACTGTTGGATTGATTGCCATGGAATTTTGTTCAGAGATTCATGGTCCCCAGAGTATGAATCCAGCCAACTTTGCTGAACCCCTGCCTCTTCTTGCACCACCAGAGGATCAAAGTTTACATATCCAGTGAAATAGAATAGATTGGTCCAAACCTTTGTGCAGACATTTGTGGTTCCCAGATGATGTAGCCTAATAAGTTTTTAGGGGCTCATGATTTTAGTCTTAACGCCAATGTTAGATTGACACTTTTGGTTTTTAGTAAAATGTTTCAACAAGTATTGGATGGATTGCCACAAAACTTTGTTGCAGGCATTCATGGCCCCTCCTGGATGAACTGGTGAGCATGGTAAACATCATACCATCAACATGTTAGCATTGTCATTGTGAACATGTTCGTATGCTTACATTTGCATTTAGCTCAAAGCACCATTGTTTCTAACTACAGCCTCGCAGAGCCACTAGGGTGGCTGTGGATTTTTAGTCATCTTGTTTTGATCATTTAACATCTACTATTCATCTGACTTCAGGTGAACTTAAAACCTTGAAACCATCTTTCAAACCCATACTGTAAATTCCTTTCGTATCACATACCTCTCTTACATGCCATTCTCAGGAATAAAGAGGTAGACACCCACTCAAGTCCACATACCATACAATGTAAGCAGAAAGCTCATGTCTCCACAGTGGCAGATTATCTGCTTATTTGCTGAGTCAATGGCCAGCCAGGAATGTCTATTAACATGAAATCAGTTTGCGGTGTCCTCTGTGAGCGGCCGCCTGTGGGACCACAAGATAACCTCAGATACATTCTCAGACGTTTGGCAAACAGGCTTTGCTGACCAGCTGTGGTAGAATAGCCACCAAAGTATGGTAGAGCCTCCTAAGATGGTATGGAGCCTTGTGCCTTGTTCCTACAAGGGAGGGTTTGGGCCACAGAGTAATTTGGCCTGCAGCGCGACACTGATTGCATTTGAATTTTTGTGGGTTTGGAAGGGTTCTCCATGTTGTAACTGGAGTGCTTTTGCAGGCCAGTTTTGCTTGCTCAGTTTGACAGTTGGACTCAGTCGGAGGTGTAATCCCATATCCAAATGTTGACAGGATTGCCAAAATATTTCCACATGTCCGTGTGCATGTGTGTTGAATAATGAGCGCAAATGTAAACCTTGGAGTGCGTAGCCAGATTACAAAAATAACTACAGGCAACCCTCAAAGTTTATAAAAGTGTGTAATCTGATCAGCTACTCTTTTTAATTCTAAAACTCTGTCTCTCACACTCTTCCACCAACTTTGCTGTCTTTATCCAATCAGCCCTGGTGAACTACCACCTGCTGACCAGTGTCCATTGTTCAGAAGCAATCATGGCAGGATCAGTGTATGAGACAGCAGAGGGCAGCACTATAGAGATCGGCTGTGATGGTGACAGCCTGACAGTCAACGGCATCAAGATGGTGTTGAAGAAGGACATCGTTGCCACCAATGGCGTCGTCCACCTCATTGACCAGGTGCTCGTCCCTGACGCAGGTAAAACACATTGTGAATTACATTCCAAATTCGCCCTTAGCAAATACTGAGATGTCATTTTTTTCTGTGTTCACCAATGTGTCATGTTTGTGTTATTCATATCAGCCAAGGAAGTGATGGAGCTGATGGGAGACTCCCAGAGCACCTTCAATGACATGGTGTCTGAACTGGGCTTAGCCGCTGCCCTGGGCCCACAGACAGAGTACACACTTCTTGCTCCTGTCAACACTGCCTTCACCAGTGAGTTGATCTCCAAACAAGTTTTTATGGACAGCAAAGTGACACAGTTTATAAGCTATGGAAAAGTCACATTTTGTCCTTCAGAAATATAAGAAGTTATTCCGTACATTTCCACTACTTTTGACACGTTTTAAGGAGCACATGGGAGAAATAATGAGATAATTCATCAGAAGTGACAACTCATATTACATGTGTTGTGTTAAATCTGTACCTTGTCTCTGCGTTTGTCAGAAGAGGTGATGTCAACAGACCAGAACCTGCTGAGAATCATTTTGGAAAACCACATCTTGAAGCTGAAAGTTACACTGAGTGAGCTCTACAATGGACAGCTCCTGGAAACACTGGCTGGCAAACTGCTCAGAGTCTTCATTTACCGCACTGTGAGAACTCTTCTGTGTATGTGTGTGTATGTCTGTGTGTTAGTTACATCAGAGCGTCGAACACACTCAATAAAGAACAGAGGGAAAAAAAGGTAAATAAGAGGTGATGGAAAGATATTGGAGAGTTGGCTACCATATTTGAGGTCTGAAAGCCATTACCGGGCCCCTTACTAAGTGTTAACATGATTTTGCTGTCTTTCAACTATAAACAAATAACAATAAAATAGCCAATTAGCCCAGCTCTTGGCGATTGAAGTGTGTTTCTGCTCTGGTGGTTCAGACATTGGAGTCAGCTGGGTTTAATTTCCTCTCAGAAATGTATTGCACTGATTGATTGCAAACAGGACAGTGTGACAGCACCTCTCCCCTATAGCTAAATACTTACCAGATTTGTACAGTGACTTTTAGATCTCTAACTCTATTCTTTGAATTTTTTGTTAGGCTGTGTGCATAGAAAACGCATGTATGGTGCGCGGCACTAAGGAGGGAAGCAATGGGGCTCTCCATCTTATGAGGTCCCTCATCAAACCAGCTGAGAAAACTATGTATGAGGTCCTACTTGCTGACGGACGGTTCAAGTAAGAACTGCATCTTATTTTATCTTTTTTTTTTTTTTTTATTTTTTTTTTTTTTTTTATTTTTTTTTTTTTTTTTACATGAATTATTATTCAAAAAGTTGTTAATAATTTTTTGTTTGTTGTTTTTAATTAACTTGCTTTCCTGACTTTGAAACTGAAATAATTAACAGCATCTTCCTCTTACAATTGTCAAACTCATAACAAGTAAAACACACTGTTAATCAATTCAACACACTCAGGCATTTTGCAGCTACAACTGTAGTTGGTCTGGTATGACCAGTAGCTCATGTTAGCTAATGTTACCAGACATTAGCCGTTGCTTTGTATCTGACATTACTGAGTTGGTTTACTGACATTTTGATGTTACTCACAGTGAGATGATGATTGGTGTCTTAAAAGCAAATGACAAAGAGAATCTTGGGTAATGAAGGGAAATTCAGTGTGCCATTATCCTGTAGTAGCCACTTCTAGCCACAGTAGCTGCTATTGGGTAAAAGTTGCATAATCTCACTTTAAGGTGATTTAATACTTTGTTTTTGCATCATTATCTTACTGGAGATTATTAAATAATTTTCCACATTGTGCTCACAAATTGAGTTATGGCGTAAGGAGAACATTACCTTCTTCACAATACAATGACCAAACATTAGTGGCAATGCCTTACCATACACATTTGATATTTTCTGGCTCTGTGACAAATACTGGCACCAGTACAGGCTGATGATGAATAACAGAGGAAGCAGATGTATGAACAAGTAGGACCACACAAGCACACAAATCTCACACAAATCCCAAAATCAACTCCTCATCATGTTGCCAAAACAATAATCCTCCTGTCTAAAATGAGCAACACATGACCAGTTTTTGATCCAAATGTTACATGAAATCTGTTCTCATCACTGTGCAAACTTAACCTAACTCTAACCCTAACCCTAACCCTAGGATTTTGCTGTCACTGATGGAGACTGCAGGTCTGACTGATCTGCTGAAGCAGGAAGGCTCCTACACCATCTTTGCGCCAACCGACAATGCCTTCGATGACCTCTCTAGAGAGGATTTAGCTCTGCTCAGAAGTAAGTGCTTTACTGAAAATGAAAACTTCCTTTCATGCACCTCCCTTTTAAAATTGGGGAATTCTGTCAAGCTGGTATGTGCTGATATAAACTTCTATAACTCAGGGATGACGAGAGAAATATGTGCTAGCTCTCCTGCACAGTATGTAAATCATTGTATGCCAACCGTTTGCCTTGTGTTGTTGTTTACAGGCGATACGAACGCTTTGAGAACCATTCTGCTGTACCACTTCAGTAATGGCGTCTTCATCAATGGAGGATTAGAAGGAGGAGTTACCAATCTGCTCAAAACTCTCCAGGGCAAAAACCTGCAAGTTATATCTGTATGTACAATCAGAAATCATTTGAGTGTGTATGTGTGTCCTTAGAATCAAAGAGACAGGGCTCACTTCCTTTCTACATTTTGCACAGTCACTGTATAATCACATGGTGACATGAAATTCATTGTTGCATTCTGAGTGAAATGTGCAACCATGATTATACCCCACAAACTAGCTAGATTCCTGCCCACTTAAATCAAATTGCAAGATGAGACATTATCTAAGGGTTGATCCTTCCTTTAAGATTATGTTTGTATAATGTAATCAAGTTTTAAAAGGCCAGACATAATCACATATTTTTCACCTTTTCTCTATCTCCATTTTTCACCAGACTCCATCATGAGACTTTAACACAATTTTTCTCCACATTCTCATTTAAACAATAGCATCAAAGAGCCGATAATAATCCATTACTTCAAAGCTGGATGTCTCTGGAGAACAACCAAAAGTAATAAAATCTGGCTTCCTGTCATTTCCGTCAACGCCCACTCTTGGTATTCACCCACCACTCCCACCTGCCATTTTCTCTTACTTTCTTTTTCTATCTCAGTCTTCTTGTTGACTTTGTCATAATTTCACCCATTACCTCAATTTTGCCCTCACTCAGTTTCTTATCGTGATATCAGGTTCAGCCACGGTCTCATATCAGGCCTACAGGACTTCCTTAATTGATACAGGAAAGCTTGTTTGGGTTAATGCACAACGATAAGAAAGCACATTACTCAGGCTTCAATCAGTTAATACAAAAAGAGGGACAGTGATTTGTGGTAATGTGTCATTAGGTTTTTAAAAACTGGAAGAGATGTGGCTCGACTGGGTGGGTGAGAGGGAGAGAGAGGAGGCAGAGGAGACATGAAACCTATCCCTTACTTACTCAGCACGTCCACCTTCAGTCACATCTGTGGAGACCGTTAAATTGCAGGAAATTAATCAGAAATGGGACTCCCAGATCTCACTTCCAACAATGAAGCACACTGCCTGGGATTTCTATTACGTTTCATCGGCCCTTAAAACCTCTCACATCAAACCATTTCAAAAAAGTGTAAATTTCAATGTCTTGGGGAGTATAAAAATGACAATAACCTTCTCAGTGCAGTAAGTTTTTAAGGCAGATGTTGATATAACTTTCAAAATAAGACTCTGCCTTATTGATACCATTGAAAATATATATGCATTCAGTGTGTTTTCGGTTTTTCCCAGGTGAACAACTCTATTCACGTCAACTCTGTGGACGTTCCAGACAGTGACCTGATGGCAACAAATGGTGTGATCCACATAGTGAAGAATGTGCTCTATCCTGCAGGTGAAAACTGCATTACATTACCAAATATTCTTGCAATGTGTACTCTGTGCCTGGATGCATTATAATATGTTGTTTTGATTACTTACAGATCTCCCCGTGGGCCGCCAGGACCTCCTGGTCCTCCTGAGGAAGCTGATTAAGTACATCCAGATAAAGGTAGAGAAAGAGAAAACACAGATGTATGAATATGCACAGCTCACATTTTCTACCTTGAGTATCTTTTGCCTCATACCTTCCAATCTGTTATGCTTTTTGTTCTTTAGTTTGAATCCGGATTTTCTTACACCGAGATCCCGCTCACTTTCATCAGTAAGTTTCCTCAGTGCCAATATCGCTGTGACTTGCCAACATTACTGCATCTGCAACAACTTAAAACTCTTTCTTTTTTCTTCACAGAGAGGACCATCACAACTACTCGTTATGTTGAGACAGGTAAGACCCCTATCATTGAAAGTTTTGAATTAGTTTTGGTCAGAGAATTGATTTGTCATCAGTGGTGATTATAAAACAGCATGACTGCCTTTAAAACTAACCTTTGCTTAAAAATGAGACTCTGCTCTGAAGTGAAATCCAATCTGCAGCCACCTGCATATTACATACATATCATTGCTCCATTCAGGCATCCTCCCTCTTCTTTGTTCCTCTGATTACCCACTCCCACTATTACTTTTAAGTCCACTTGAAGCTCTTGGCATGTTTAATCAGCTCCTTTAGAGATGAGGTAATTATGCTGTCAAAGGAAAATAGGGTCAGAGACCACAGAGGACTCTTGGATGCTCTTCACTCAGTTGGGCTTCATCCAGTGCGCTTCCACAGAGATGGGAGCATGCCTCGACGTATTAGATAACATAGGAGAGCTTAAGCCTGACTCTTCAAAGTGATTAAGCAGATTACATGGACTACAGAGCTGCTGAAGGTCTGGATCACTAGGATATTACATTTTTAGGGGATGCAATTTTATGCTATAATTTTATGGAAATAATTAAGCCATTATGACTATTTCATACTACTACATTTGGCATAATGCTAGAGGTTATGAAAGTTCAGAAGCTGTGTTGTGATACCATCTGATATCAGATTGCATTATGGCTCCTGGAAAGTGATTGATGAGTTAACGCTCCTGAAGAGGAAGAGTGGTTCATCATGGTAAAGCAAATTACTACTACAGGACTTTAAAAAGAAATGAAACCTGTACATGTCTGTCTCACCAATTATCTTTACGAATAGACAATAGGTGGAATGGTTTATCACCCGAATCATGTATATCTTTGTAGTAGTATATTTTCTCAAAGCAAAGCACACCACAGTTTTAAGTATAAATTTATCATAATCTCTTAATTACTTTGAAAGACAAACATGATCCTGGCTGTGGTTACCGGTTACAGGGCCAGGCCACGTATCAAGGGAAAGATTAGCCCTCTGATAGAAACACACATCTGTCGGCTTTCATCTCTTTATGGCTCATAAAAATAATGTCCCACAAAAGAAAAAAATCATCACTCAGGAGCAGAAAATATAAAAGAAGCAAAAGAATGTTCCTGGCTGAAGTTTCTGTTGAAGCTGAATCAAAAAAAAGGATGTGTAAGATTTTATAGAGATATCGATTCCCAGATGGGAATTTATTGACTGGGTTCAAATCCTGCTCAGAAAAAAAATTAACATATCACATTTTTCTCTTTTAGTATAATTTTCAAACCGGAAGTCAAGATTATTTAAACACCAGAAATTGTAAATGTTGTATGAATTATGAATGTCCAACAGAGTGTAATGCACTGATTCAAAATCAACCAATCAATCAATCATTGGTCCATGGAGTGTATTCAGTGATGCAATCTAATATCCTCCCTCTGTTTGTTCTACATGCTTTGATGACTTTACATACTGTACCTCCAGCCGGCCCCTTCACTCATAGCAGAGGTTATGTGGGTGTTTTAAGGATAATTTAACCATGGCACCTCTCCCTCTCCTTACTCCCTTCCTACAGTCCCTGATGTAACAAAGGTGGTCATTGAAGGATCATCTGTCACAAAGTTGACCAGTGTCACCGAGGAGGAGCCAACCATCACCAAGGTAACCAGGGTCATCGAGGTGGGGGAGCCTTCCGTCACAAAAGTAACCAGGGTCATCAAGGCGGGGGAGCCTTCCATCACAAAAGTAACCAGGGTCATCGAGGGGGATCCTATCATTACCAAGGTTACGAGAGTTATCGAGGGTAAGGTCATCATTCAGATTTTGAGTGCAAATGAAAAGTTAGATGATGAAATGACAAAGGGTTTGACACAACTCCTTTTATTCAATGCAGGACAAGGAGAGTTTGATGCAGATGGAAAGAGTATTACAGGTCAGTTTCTCTAACACGTTTCCTGCCATGAGGAGCATGATAGACTAGATCTAAGTAGTAGTAGTAGTAGCAGTAGTAGCAGTAGTTTCATGCTTCTTCTAACAGCTCTGTTAACAAATGCATCCAGTTAACTGAGCATCATCATCTGTAATGTGAATTTCATTTCACATTATGTTTCCATGGTGATCATCAGTTAAGTTATCAGACACATCGTTTTCATGGTGGGCACCATTTTAGCCTCACAGGAACATTTTTGTGGATGTAAATCAATGTATTTGTAAATCAAAACCATTATTCAAACTGGCTTTGGTTCCACTCTATCCTGCTATTGCCAAAAGTGGATGCAAGATTTCATTTCCACTTGTCAGATGTCAAATTTAGCGAAATACTTAGCATGTATCTTGCTTAAGTATCTTGTTAAAACTGGCATATGATCTCACAAAACAGGCTCTGAATTTTGTGTACCATTACAAAACACAATAACTCACCAATTCCTGCTTTTTTGTAGTGTGGCAAATGTGACGAAAATATAAAATGAGAGATAGCTCTTGTAGCTACAATTTACATCTACATTAAGCTATGCTACCCATGTTACCCAGGAATTAGCACTAGCATCATGATGGGTTGTATTAATTGGTTTCCAGGTATTTTTAACATCTTTGAGGCTATCTTATTTGGCTTGTCACTGGTGGTTCAAAGACAAAACAAAACACACAAAAAACCCCCAGCTGGTTCACATCCTGCTCAGCTGTAGCTGGCTATGTGCCAGCCAGAGTGTCTGTCTTTTCGGTTATTCAACTTCTTGATCAGTATTCAGAACTGGTTCAAAACAAAATAGCTTCTTCATTATTTCTGACATGACAAAACAACACATCAAAGTGGTTCGACTTTTCCGTAGTGAAGTTTAATAATTAGTTAGTTGCTAAAGTCAGTAAAAACCTCTTAAAACCTCTTATATACAGTAGCTGCATTACCAACCCACAAAAACCAAAAATAAATTGCTGCAGCTCGTGAAGATAAACAAAGTCAGATTTACTGAAACCGAACTTCATTAGTCTGAATTTCCTGACTGGTCCAACCAAATCAAATCTAATGGTTCACAAGTTAAGAGCACAATAAGACACAGAGAATGAGAGTGTAATTTCCACTGTTTTAAATCATCCCGCAGGAAAACTGTTCATCTTTAACACTGTGTGTGTCACACCAACACACAGTTCGCTCCATGTTATGTTGCCTATATTTTCATGACAGTCAGGTTCATGAAGTAGGCCAGAGCCAGATAATGTTGCTAATGAATGTTTAATAGCTGGAGCAGTTATGTCGCTTCCTGTTGGGGGAGAATCACAAGTCATCTATAATAACTTGGTGTCATAATGGTCAGCCAGATGTGTTTTACACAGAGAACACTCTGTTTGTTAGGACTGTATATTACACTCTGACAAGCTTTGGCCAGCCACCAGTCAAAACATCACAAGCTCATTCTGCTTTATGATGTTTATATAGGCTCAGCAATGATGTGACAGAGGAAGGAGGTTGATTTTTACAGCCCTTCTCGTGGTTAGGCACACGCAGGAAGATAAAGCATGTACATGTTCTTCTACTGCCTATGGTGCACCATGATTTGGATGTCTATCCATCTCATCACTTATCCATCCTGATTTCATCTCTCTGTCAATGTTCTTGCCTCTCAGGCAGGAATCCCATCATTATCCATACTCTGCATATACTCACTGTAGCTGTGATGCATATGTGTGAGCAGTGTGTAAATTATGACATGCCATTTTGGGGTGCCCAACTCCAAAATGCCATTGGCTTGTGTGGGTACAGGGGCAGGGAGCTTTGAGCTACTTTCACCTACAGCTGCGTCTCTGTTGTGTTGCAGCTTAGTCTGTGGGCTAAGAAAAAGAATTTGCTCTCCTTTGTTGAGCTGAACACCCTCCCTGCACACCTGCACATTGCGCCCTGTGCATTTGTGTGCAAGTTTGTGTGTGTGTATGTGTGTGTTCATAAATACTGGATATCTGTGCTTGAGGTGAGCGGAGGAGGTGTTTTTTTTTTTGGGGTGTATGTACCTGTCAGTCTGTACAGTTGCTAAGTCGTTACATGACTTTCAACACCCTTCTCCGCTGCCGGTCTGAAGGTGGAGCCAGATACCCCACGGCGAACGAGCCTTATATCATTGAGGGTAGGGTGCCCTTACATGAACACTTCATTACCAAACAGGTTGCTTCAAATGTTTGTGTTCTTTCCTCCTTGAATTAATCCTGTGTTACAAATCTTTTTGCATCATTTGCCAGATTAAGTGGTTATTTCAAGGTGGGAAAGAGAATATGATACATTTTTAAAACTGTATCTCCATACATGATTTTCAATGTGACAGTGTGTAAAGTGTTCTGCATTGTGGAACTAACAGTTTTGTTTCAAACGCTCAGGCCCAGACTTCTCTAAAATCACCACCATCCATGGCAACCCAAATCTGATTGATGCGGAATCAGAGAGAATTACCAAAATCATTAAAGGTGAATACTCATAACTGCAAAGATTTTGTGTTGTTCTTGCATGTGTGGGTCCAAATGCAAGTGACTGACTGTGTCTTTTTCTTCATTTCACAGAGGGAGGTAGAGGCTTAGCAACCAGGAGAGTTCCAGGTAAGAGAACAGGTAGTTGATTCATCGACACTGAAGTTGAATCAGACAAAAAGAGTTTGCCAAAAACCACATGATCACTGCTGGAAAATATGCAATTGTCATTGTTGGATTTTCCTTTAGCTATTATGATTTTCTTTCCTTTCCATTATCTACCTTTTCAGTTCTTCCACCTATTCTTCACACGTGTCTTCCTCCTTCCTCCTTGACATGTTTTCTTTAGTCTTTTGTTTTCATTCACACCTCTGATTCCCTTCATTAACTCTGTCTCCTCTTTTACAGCTGGAGTGAGGAGAGCAAGACTGGTCAGGCGTCACCACAAGCCAAGGGAGTGAATCCAGCAGAGATAAAAAAAAAAAAACCAAAAAAAAAACCAAAAAAAAAAACCACCTTCGGGCTCACCGCAGAGACTGAATGCATCTCCAGCGCTCCTGGTCGAGTGCTGGAGGAAAAAACTGTGGACCAACAATGAGAGATCCAACCAATCTAGCTTCATTCAAACCATCAATACAAATGATTGTTTACTATTCCATCTGGACCATACTGTATGTGATAGGCATGATGTGTAATAGCAGTGCAATGACATTAGAATACCCTTCATGTAAGTGATGTAAGTGTGCATGGGGAATTTTTTGCCACGGGGTAGATGGTGTGTAAGGTGAGATATATTCTACCACAGAGATTTTTAAAAAAAATCATGTCGCTTTGTAAAACTTGGCTTGGGAAGATTTTTGTATGCTTTTTATGGTGCTCGCATTCTGTACAGTGGATGCATTTTAATGACTATGACAAATGAAAGAGTGTCAAACAGTGTTTTGCTACCATTAGATGCTGTACTGTACCTCTGTAAATTATCACATGGTAATTAAAAAAACAATGAATTTTTATACAGTTTTCAGTCATTCTTTACAGCTTCTGTGACTGTTTTTACTCCAAAAAGCCAAACGTGTTTAATCTTATCTCAGAAACTAATTTCCTTTCATTTGTTTTAGCTAATCCTCATTCCAGTAATGTTTCCTCTCCAGGTTAAAGCCATTGATATGGTAGCTACATTAAAGAAGCTAAGTAAGTTTTGCTAGTGTTACATAGCCAGCGTTAGCATTAGCAGCTGTTTACTTACCAGTCTAGTAGACAAGGAGTTCAGCATCAAACTTTATTCCTTTACTCACTATTAGCTGTCCCCAGCAGTGAAAAGCAAAACTAATGTTAACTCTTTTCTCTGTCACGCCTTTTCTTCTACTGAAGTTAGCACGCTAACCAGCTAGCCCTGCCCCACCTCTTCTCTTTCTGATAGCAACTCACTGTAGCCTCAATTCTGCCCTTCTTTAGATGCAGATTTTCTCTATTGAACAAACACACCTTCTCTATATTAACATTTATTTACAACACAACGGTGTGTCCTGACAATTTACATTTGTCAGTTTACACTTGTGAGTACCTACACAGTTCATACAATCTCTCATTGGCTTTTGACTGCCACTTGAGTACCTCACATGGCTCATCTACCGTATGAATCTATGAACATCATCTGATATGTGTTCAAATGATTTTGAAAGCTATATGGTTTGAACAGATTTGTCTGATCAAAGGGAAGCATATCTGTGAAGTGAGAATTGCATTAGTGAAGTACATAAACAGAGTACACAAAACATGCCCGATTTGAGGAATTACATAATGGTTACACAATGCAATACTTTTACTGTACCAGTAATATTACTCAACTGTGCACCTTTTGGACTCATATTTTTCTTTAATATATTTTTCCCTCCTAATAAGCACATTAACATGAGACAGCACTAGAGATGATGAAACAGTGCTCTATGTGTAGTGTAGTTCTTTCGCAACATCATTAAAATGATCCAGGGCAGCAGCAGCAGCAGAGGGGAGTTGAAGTTTGCACAAGGGCCTCTGGCTAAACGTCACAAAGTGCAGATAACAAGGTGACGAAAAGAGGACATGACAGTAAATGTTAGCTTATTAGGTGTTCTCATGCAGCACGGGGATATGGAAGCTCAGAGTCTAAGCATTTTTTCAACTGCGTGCACACACACACACACACACACACACTCGTGATGGCGCTGCACTCCTGCATCAACAGTTTGAAATGATATGGATAATTAGTCTTGACAGTGACACTGGACCCAACTTCTGATAAATGTCAGAAATAGTTTCACTTCTTTGTAAAACTGCAGATCACAGCAGCAGCACAGGAAACAGTCAACACAAAGACTATTAACTACTTAGAATATGTTGATATTGTCTTGGCAGGTTAATTATTTGGAGTTAATAGCTAGGATTGAATTCTGGCTTAATTCAGTCTTAATTCATCCCTTGCTATCGTGATATATAACATAATATAATGATGCTTTGACTGTCAATACATTTATTATTACTGATTGTAGTCATGGTAGTTGTTTAGTATCGGTAAAAATAAAATCAGTAATGATATAGATATGAACAACAAACCATCCATGTTATTTTCTCCAGTGAGCCACACTAAAGATATGTAATGCAATGTAATGGTTGACAAATTTTTATCTTTAATACTTCATCACTGATGCAAGTGCCAAAGGTTTACTGTGCCTTGCCCGTCTTGTCAGCTCCATGTCAACAAAAATGAGGAGAATAGAACAAAAACATGCCCTCACAATTCACATGGTTGGTGATTTAACTGACCACATAAAACTGCTCAGATGGAGTTTTTATGGCTGATTTCACCCTTTGTCATATTTCACAGGCAGTGGCAGACATTGACCAGACATTTGACTTCGAACTTATCCAGACGTCTTGGCATGATCCGATTGGATTTCTACTTAAGTTTATAAATTGTTTCTGCAGCTTTTTCGAGGTAGAAAATGATTACATCCACAAAAAAGAGTATCTACAAAATACAAGTCTAGCGTAGGGTACTGGCAGACATTAACAAATGACAAATCAATCAGCAATGTTGGGATAATTATGTGATCCAGGACCAACCGGGTTAACGAGTCCAGAAAAACACCTGGCTGTCTTCTTGCTTGAAGCCTGAAGGTCTGACAAGGTGTCAAACTGGACAAACGTGAGACATGGAGAGTGTCGTGACGTGTAGAGTAGAATGAATGGTATTTCACTTTTACTCTTCATCTATTCACGTCTGAAGTATGTAGAGAAATATTTAAATATTTCACGCCACCTCACCAACCTCACATGAACAGTGACTCGCCCATTCTCCCGCTGCAGGAGAGCCAGTGCTGAAATCAGTGGCTCTCCATAAATGTAGGCATGACAGAACCCTGTTGTCTCACTCACAAATGAAAAAAACTCCAAAAAACTGGTGGATCAATCCCACAAAGACGCATTTGATCCAGGATCATGGATGTGATTTAGATCATGTCATCTTGTTCCAGAAATTACAGTTGGCCAAGTATGAACTCACAGTCTTCTTTAGAACTATTGCACTGAGAACGGGAACAATAACTAAACATAAAAAATAATGGAAATCAGCGCTGTAAAAAAAATGGTTTGTGAATGTCATTTGCAATCAATAATCATATACTTGTCAGCCTGTGGGGATGCAGCATGTCCCTGTGACCAAACATACATTTTTCAGCATAATTCAGTCCATCTTTATTAGTTAACTCAAACAATATTGACTGCTCCGTGCGACACAGTTTGCTTTCCTCTGTAATGTGTTTTGTAATTTAACACAATTTGAACAATTCACCACCTCATAAAAAACCCATACCAAACATATGGGTTGTATTGCCTTAGCAGAGGGGGTGTGCTTCCCTCCGTTCGGTTCACCCTGCTGTTGCGGCGTTTTCTGTCTCCAAGGCTGGAAACCAATTAGGAGCCTAATCAGCAGCATATAGGACACACATGGGCCTGGTGTGCCCCATCCATATAAACTGGAGCAGCACGAACACCTTCAGAGTTCAGCAAGCCTCGTGAGAATGTGTCACCAGCGTGATTGTACGTTAGACCGTCACAAAATAGCTATGTAATATGATGTTATCCCATCATGAGCAAGAGTAAGATTTAGAGTCAATAATATCAGCTCTTATTTTATATCAAAAATGTAAAACCTCAAAGTGTTGTTAAATTTTGCAATCAGAGATCCAGAATGTATTTTTTAAAGAAAAGATGACAGCTATGAATGATTATTCAAAGGATTGGTCCAATTGATTTTTTTAATCACCATGTTCACATGTCTATACGTCGCATTTATGTCACATAAATCTTCTTTCTGTTATTTTAATACAGTTGCTGTTATTTTTTCATTTTTAACCTTGTTTCTGTGTCTTTAGTTTATTGAGCAAACAAAATTATGTCTAAATATTTAGGTTTTTAAGAGAGTTTGATTAAATATACAAATATCCTCATTGTTATCTTAGTGACCTATATTTTGGTCTTGTATGTTTACACAGTGTTACACACTTTGGACAAAACATACTATACTGAAACTGCATTGCATCCCCTCCCAGGGTTTGACCCACGGGCTCATTACACTCTTCCCCTCCAAACTCGTGGCCAGGCAGCTCTGTTGTCTGCCCTCCAACTCCAAATTAAAAGCAGCTGACCGTAGCTACGGAGCTGAAATTTATGGAGCTTGCGGGATATTCTGCAGAGACAAGAGCAAAGTGCCATCCAGGATTTTGCTTCATGATCGATGTTCTGTGACAGAGAAGCAAAATCAGACCTCTCCAAATGTGCCACTCTCACTGATCTCAGACAGTGTGTTTGGATTTCGTGTGTCATAAAGGATAGATGTGCAGCAATAAACTACAGTGTCTGCATCCTTTCTTTTTGTGTAGTTTTTCATTATGAATTAGGGTCGCTACCATATCTGAATAGCAGGGAAGTAAATGAAAATGACAGACAATTGAGAACAACAAGAGGCAACAGAAGAAGTAACTTGAAGTTCAATAAAATGAGAAGGATTATGATTATGATTGTATATTATATCAAGCAGTGTGTCTGCAAGCTACAGCCTTCTGATACACCCTGTGATTTTATGTCTTGCTAATACAATAAGTTTTCCACAATAATATTTCACAAATGAGCTGCTGAAGACAAAAATTATAACTATAATCCTTTAAAGACAAAAACAGCAGGAAGAAGAAAGATGGAGGCACACGTAGCGTCGGAAAAAAAGTCACAGACGCTGCAGGTGCTGCCATGTTTTCAGCCCTGTGACTGACAATAGATTTTGGTCTGTCTGGGAGAATTTCACATTGTTGAAGTATGACTGTGATTTCCGAGACTCAACAGACAGTAACACATGCAAAGAGCCAAAGCACAGCAGGATTTGTTGTGCAGATCAGTGGCTCCATTTGAGCATCTGGCCAGTGGTTCCTCTTATAGATAGATAGCGAGAGAGAGAGAGAGCCATTATTGTGATCTGTGTGTCTGTGGAGAGAATGATGTCACGCCTTGCAGATGCCCTTGGGGAGCCGCAGAGGCTGGATTTGAATTTATGTGTGTGTATGTGTGTGTTGAGTGGTGAGAAAAGGATACCTGAAACGGCAAGTGCATGCCTGTTGCTTGAAAAGAAGCACGCACAAACACACACACACACACACACACACACACACACACACACACACACATAATTCTGCCATATTTCAGAATTAAAGTTTACTGTTTGCTTAGTATCAGCTAATTTTTGAAGATTTAGTTTTTCTCTTTTCCATCTTATTTCTTTCACAGAACTAAGTCCACAGGCAAATCTCTTTTGTAGTAGCACAGTAGTAGTAACCAAGTCAAACAATGAGGCCTCTTAACATCTTAGTTGAGAATGATTTTCAATACAGCTCGTTTCAGTGAAGTCAATAAATAAATATTTCAGGTTTTCAGGTTTGCCGCAACCCAGAATCCGGGCAAATGAAGGTCTAGCGAGGTCAAATGTCAGCTGTAGAGTAATGTGCACAGAAGCCAAAGTAAACTTCAAGAAGGGCAGTAAAGATGTTTCCTCTCTAAAACAAATAAATAACATCAGACATATATAACCTTACCTTTTGATTTAATCTTTTTTTTTTTTTTTTGCTCTATTTGATAGTCTATTCGTAGAAAGAGAAAGGAAATGTAGGGGGGAAGGAAGGGATGACATGCGGTCTGGGCCTGATTTGAACCTGAGCAGCTGCAGAAAGGACTCAGCTTTAATATGTGGTAGGAGTGTTACCAGGTGAGCTACCTGTGGGCCCTAGTTTAATTGTTTTTACTTATTCCTTAATTATTTAGTAGTTGTCTTGTTTTTATTTCGCCTTTATTGTATCTGTTTGTGAAGGTACACCCATACTCCATATGTCTAATCATATGAAGACATCTGCTCTAACTGTATTTACAGCCTGGCCTTGACCAGGGTCTAACACAGAACATGCGCATTGACGACATCCAATATCAGCCATGATCACAGGGAGGGTTTTCCAAGGAAACGGGGTGCAAAATCGGAGGGGGAGGCAGAGACAGGGGGGAAGGGGACAGCTGAAACCAGATCAAGGAAGGGATGTGAGGACACAAAGGGAGGAAGGCTATGTGCTCACTGGTACATTTGCTGATAACAACGACGAGACAGAAACATGCACAGCATCTGTTTTATGTATGCATGTGGACTGTTCCTTCAGCAGATGTTAAGGTGTCTGACCTTATGTCTGGACTAGTCGACGCATCCCTCGGGGAAAAACTAATGTGGAGAACTACACGTAAAAAAGCTGTGCAGTGAGCAGCAACTCAGAAGTACATGGATTATCACACAAGTAGGGTTGCAGTAAACGTTAACTATGTCCTCATTAGACGATGACGGCAATGCAGTACATTTGCCAGGGCACACTGTTACAACACAGCAGAGGTATGTGAGTTCAAGTATGGAAGTATACTGTACCATGGTGATGAAAGATGAAAGCGTCTCCCCCACGAACCGTCCAGGGTTAGATAAAATGCTACTTTATGCCAGTGGATGACAGTAAATACTGTGGGCATTATAAATGAACTGTTGTGAAGGAGAAAAGATTATAAAACATAATTAATAAAAGATTTTTGTATTGTTTGTCACTGTAGTAAAAATAATTTCATTACACAAATAGTTGGTTTTGTATTTACAGTAGTCATATTACAGTAGTCACTTTCTGATTTTTTTTGAGGGCATGAGATTTAATATATTATTGTGCTTGATGGCATGGATTTCTTTTTCATTTTTGACTTTGTTATTTAGGTCTTTACATCTCAGGGCTCAGATTTCTTTTTTCTTTTTTTACTTTATCTCAGTTAAAGACTTGACTTGTCTCTGTCATTGGCAATTAGAAAAGTATTGACTTATGTCCTCATTAGATGATAAAGGCAATGCAGTACATTTGCCAGGGCACACTGTTACAACAATCATATTCATACTCACCCAGATTTGAACTCCCAAATATCAAACATGTTTGATATTATCGAGGTGTAGGACTGGGTCTGTGAAGCCCCCATATTACCAAATAATATGGGCTGAACATTGGTACCGACCTGTAGTCTGAGCCTGACTTAAGAAATAAGACACCCCTGCTTCAGTGATTGTGATACTGCATGTGTCGATTTTTTTTGTTTTTGTTTTGTTTTTTTGTCTAAGTCCTATGTATCAGCAAGTATATAAAATAGAAAGAGGAAAAAAGAAAGGACAAATAAAGAGGGCAAAAGGTCTGTAAATGCAACGCCTAATGTGATAAATTATCTTCAAGACAGAACAAGAAGACATGTTATTGCTTATTTCTCAGAAACAGGGTGTGTGTGTGTTTGTTTTGTATCACTGGTTTATTTGTTTTTACATGAGTGTAGTATTGTGTAATTGTGATTTGTGATCTTGTCTTGTGTATTTAAATGTAAAAAACATTATTAAAGTGTTGTATCTGACTTGAAAAGGGAAAAATCTATTGTTTTCCACTATAGAACAAAGGCGTTCATCAACTGCATCTCAAAATAAACAAAAGAGTTAATGTCTAGTTGAGTATGTTGGAGGACCGATTCAAACAGGATTTGTATTTGTTTAAACAGAAATATTTGGACTGTCTGTTTCACCATGTCATTAAAATGTGATTTACACTCAAGAAACAATTGCATCAATTCTTCCACTTTATTTCTCAATTCGGTTTTAATTCGTTCAACTCAGTCACCCTTTTTACAAAGCAGCATCTTAGCTCTATTGCCACTTGAAATCTACTATTAGAGTCATATGCCAAACAAAATCCTTTCAGTGTTGAGCACCCATCCATCTTAAGAGTTGAAAAGTGGCAGTTAAATGTTTGTATTTTATTCACTGGCAGAGGGTAGCAGCTGTGGTAAACATGAATTCATGTTGGTTTTTCATTAATCATAATGGTGATAAATTACAGTGGAAAGAAAATAAATAAAAAGATAAAACAAACTCTTAAAACCACTCCTAACTAATCCATTAACCTGGGTCTAAGGGCAGCAGGGGTGTGTACACAGTGCAGGGTCAATGCAGGGCCAATGCCGGGCCAAGTCTATTGGACTGTTAATAAATTTATATGTACTTGTATCAAATCATTTGCCATGTAAATGTGGATTATTTATGTGCAAATCTACAAAATAAAGCATGTTGGTATAGGTTCACCATTTCTAATAGTCACAAAATTACATTCAATTTTCATTCACTTTTCAGACAACACAGGTGAGTATACACACATGCCACTACACATACACACACATTAGGTATGCAAACCTACACACAAACTTTTTCCTTCTTTTTCTTTGTCGGTGAGTGTGTGTGTGTGTGTGTGTGTGTGTGTGTGTGTGTGTGTGTGTGTGTGTGTGTGTGTGTGTGTGTGTGTGTGTGTGTGTTTTTTTATGTTACACTTAATGTGATTCCTGGTCTCATAAAACACCTCGCTGCCTTCATACCTTGGAATGTCTTCACAGATTTTCTTTCCTCATCAGTAAACTCAGAAGTCTCAAGCACAGTATCACTGAATGATAAGTGAAATGTAATTTAGCTTGTAGTTAGATTTACCAAGGCAACCTCACTCATTGTATAAACCAAAACCATATGAGCTTATGCTGCATTGAAGAGAGCTCTCCTTTCCAGCCTTTGATTGTTTCAAGGCATCTGTTTTGGGACTTTTCAAGACAGGGAAATGGTTTTAATACGGTCTATTTTCTGAAATTATAGGATTTTCCATAGTCATTTTTGAGATTTGTCTTCTCACTGGCATTGATTTTAGTTTAGAAGATGATGTAATTTATCTGGATTGATATAAATACAAAGAATAACAACCAGGACATAATTGATCTCCAAGTTTTCCATAAAAACTGATTGCCTGTGGCGTCCTGGTAGAGATACATACATGTGTTCTTGATATTGTGATTAACTTCGCTGTTGCTCACACAGTCGTATACCAGCGGCATCTCAGAGAAAACACTGCATTGTCTTAAGTAACAAATAACAGATTACTAAATGTATCCCAGCTCCATGTGTTTCTCTGGCATTTTTCAGTTTCTGCAACAAGCACATTTGTATCTTAACATTATTAAATCTAACTGAATAGATGATGGACATTGTTTTGCCCTCTAGTCCAGTGGAAATTTGGTCTCATAGCCTCTGACCGAAAATGTCAGCTGCAATGGTCTTGCTCTCAGCATATCTTACATATCTAATATTTATTTTACAAGTTTGGCGTCTGGACAGGGGAATATGGGCATGTGAGGCCAAGACGTCAGTGAAATGAACACAAAGCAACAGAGGGCATGTCCACAGACAGTTAGAGAAAGATGTTCATGTTAGAGAGAATATTTTCTCTTTTAAGAGTGATAACAAAGAGACAGTTCCTTTTTACATAAAAATGTATTGATCTTCACTTCAATCAAAAATGAATGGGGGCAAAATATGTTAGACAATTTGTAAAATGTTTTGATTATCTGGACTTAGTTTGGTCACTTCTGAATTGATTTCAGCCCAAAAATACTCAACTTATAACATTTCGGAGCTCTGCACATTGGAAATGAATGGCGTCAGCTTAAGATCATGATAATGATCAATGTTCCAGCACTGAGACAGTGATTGGTGTTTTGGCTCCAATCTAATTCATATTACAGTGGATGCAAAATTATAGAATAATGTTGACAAGATGAAACTATCACCAATGAGTTGGGGGCATTTAATAACCAAAATCTTAATCTGTCAAAATATTGTTCACAACTGATTTTCAAACAGGAACTATATTTAACTTTAACTATATGTAAACTATATGTAAACCAATTGACTGATTGTCATTTTACTTCATAAATACTAAAGAGGTACAAATTAGATACCTTGTGCTACAGTGTGATACAGTGCTTTAGAGAACCTATTGTAGCATATTTCTAAATGAATTTGACCTCAGTCAGTGTTGCTAGTGTTGCTTGGCTTTGGTCTTTCTTCTTCTGCTGCAGCAGAGAAACCTGAAAAAGGCCAAAGCAGAGAGCAGCAGTCCAGTTGCTACGGTCAGCAATAGTACCACTACATCTAAACAGTAGTATGAGTACCAGGGCATCTTATAAGCCTCTGTACGCAGGTGTGGAGCCCCTTTGTGGCGCATCACATATTCCACCCAGAAGATGGCCCGATCCATGGGTGGTATTGGCTGATCTCTGTGCAGACGTGAGAGTCTTTGCATGTTCAGTCTGTAGCTGTCTTGATGGAGCACTTCCTTGAGACCTTGTTCAAAACTGTGGCCGTTAACATCAACTAACTCAATGATCTTTCCAGCTCCTCTCTCCTGCAAACGTAGGAGGTTGTCATATTGGTCAAAGAACAAGGGTATGCCAAGCACAGGGACACCATGGTAAATGGCTTCCTGGACTCCATTGGTTCCTCCGTGAGCTACAAAGACTTTGGTCTGTGGGTGGCCCAGGAGGTCGTTCTGTGGCATCCAGTCCACTATCAGAGTGTTGTTGCCCAAAGTGGAGGGACGTTCCCCTTTGTGCCTCCATATCACCTGATCAGAAACCAAAAAAGAGTCAGTATAAACTTATAAATTTATGATGCAGGTAAATATGAATGAATTACACTTGTGTGCGCATGGTTAGAGCAAAACTTATTGTATATTTGAATTGTGGAGACTGTAACTGATCTAACCAGGTATAGCAGACCAATATTAACACAGGTTTAAGCCTTTACACCTTCATAAATTTTTGTACGTTGATCAGTTCAGTAATGAGTTAATTGCTGCACTAGAATCTCCAGGTCTCTCCGGGTCAAACAAAAGGCATTTTGAGTTACACATTTCTAGCTTTTAACATTTCACATCTTTGTAAGTGTGTCACTGAGTATGTGTTACCTTCTGAGGCATCTTAGCAAAGACGCTGGCAATTTCATCTGCAACATCTTTGGGCAAAGCGTTAACCAAAGTTCCCAGACTCATTATAATCACTCCGTGCTCCCCAGCACTCTGAACAAACTCCTCCAGGTCTGCTGGCAGAGGTCGGGCCGGTTTGCACTGGAACCCTCCTATGTAGACAACATTTGGCATTGTGGGCCGGGGGAAGTCAAACACAAAATCGGACCTGAACAACCAAATGTCTGCTTCTTGAAGAAGCGAGATGATTTCACAACCACCTTCTATATATTTATCACAGAGGGCATCGTAGCTTGGCCCCAGCATGAATTTCTGCTGCAACAGTATGATGCTGTAGAAAAACATGTTCTTGATCCGCTGCATGAAATTCATTTTATCAGTTAAGCCCGATCCTGGCACTGGGATATAAGAGAGTGGTGAGGGGGCTATTGCAAAGTGGCCTTCTCCGCTGGTGATCCAACGAACATTGAGCACCAGGGGCAGTTTGAGATATTTAGCTAGTAAAATCCCTGGTGCTAGGGCAGGGTCAGTGAGAACAAAATCATATTGGGAATCCATCAAGCTTTTGATCATATTCTCATCATCAAAGGTTTTAACAAGGGCTTGAGACCACATTAAATGAGCCTCAGAAAGCATTGAAAGGAAATCCTTGGTGATTTTGAGGAAAGTAAGTGCTGAAGCCCCCTCTCTCTGCGCCTGAAAAAATGGTTAGAAAAAAAAGTGTTAAAAAAGTGCAGGGGAAAAAAGATTATCTTGATTATTCAGTAATTAAATGACCCACGTGGGGCCCAATACATCATCCTTAATAACATACCCTCATATTCTCTTGTAGGTAGACATCAAAAAAGTCCTCGAAACCTTCATCAATTGGTATTGCAATTGTAATGGAGGTGTAGAGAGGAGACTTTTCTGCGATGTACCAGCTGGTGGAGGCCCTGATCACAGTGATGTTGTGTCCTCTGGCATGAAGTTCTTCTAGCAGGATCTTCATGTTGACCCAGTGGCTGCCGTCTACAGGGAACACCAGAATGTTCCCTCCATCGCAAGGTGTTGTGAAGGAAATCAGACAGACACTCAGGAATACAAATATTCCACACCCATGACGCAGTGACATGGTTCCTAAAATATGGAGAGAGAAATAACAGTGTTTTTAACTATGAGCTTGAAAGTATTTATCTAAAAGAAGTACGTTCTTAACAAGTTTTTGGAGTGGGAATTACCTATGTTATAAATGAAATTCCACACACTGAAAGTATAATATGATACTAACCACAACATGATAATAATCCTAAAAGTTACTTACCCATGCTGAAGAGTGGCAACAGTAGTTGTGCTTGCCCGTAGACTGACAGTCCATCTAAAGGATTCCTTGCATATCTGAGTTCAAACTCCAGCCTCAGAGATGATTGGTCCTTTCACAGGTAAATGAGTTACATGTGGCACGTGTCATATGAAGCTATGGTGCTACAATGAAAGTTCTGCAAATGACAAACAAAGGGATTTTTTTTATTTTTTTTTATTACTTAACTTAATAATGTTAATGTATGGTAGTACATTGTATACTGTGTGTAGTTTTATGAATGTGTATCTCTGTCACACGAGAACACTGCTTGCATCATATCAACCTGTGACCTCTTTCATAAGGTTATTAGAGTGCATTATGTAATGCTCACCAACATGAGTTTCACACATACCGTGTTATAAACCTGGAGAAAAAACAGACAGGATTCCTGGATAAATGTATATCATCCTCTTAGCATGTTATGCAGTTATTTTCTCTTGTGTTTTTGAGCTGCTGGTTTGTTTACTGCAACTCCCTGTTGCTAAATACACCAAATATAGCTGCCAGCCGAAGTAGGTTGCAGGTTGCCGAACTGAACTCAGTTGATCTGAGGCGTGTCTTCTCTTATCACTCTTAGGATCAGTGATGGAGGAAGTATTCAAACCCTTTACATAAATAAAAGGACAAAAGAGTCACTATAAAATGTCTCCATTACCAGTAAATCTCCTGCACTGAAAATGTTACTTACGTATAAGTATTTGACCATTAAAATGTAATTAGAGTATCAAAAGGAAAAGCACTTAATGTGGGAAAGGGCCCTTGTGAGTTTTAAACTGTTGTATATTATATCATTAGATTATTATTACAGATGTATTAATGTGAAAGCTGCATTTTACTGTTGTATTTTGTGATGATTATTCTCATTATGGATTAATTGAAATGATTCGGTTTACTATAATTTAAGATGAAGAAAAGCAGCAGTTCGTCAAATTTGAGAAGCTGAAAGCATCAAAAATTACTTAAACAATGAATCAGTTATCAAAAGTGTTACAGAAAACTGACTTATCTTTTCAGCTCTAATTTTATACTGTTGTATAGTTTAATCTCTTACATTTATTCTATTTTAACAGCTCTTCGTAGGTTTTGTATGTAAAATCTGAATCTGTAAAGTCACAAGCAACTAAAGCAAAAAAGTAAAAAGTGCAATATTTAATGAAATGTAGGGGCATTAAAGTATAAAGTAGTATCAAACTAAAAATAAGCTTACTTCTTACTGTGGAAGGCATGTGACCAAAAATTTGAATTATCACAAAGGATTTTTTGTTAAGAGTGATGATCAGTAAGTCAGTGTGGCAAATATTTGTTACATACCAAACTGTCCATGGCTTCCTCTTGGGAAGTGTTTTGGTAATGTTAATGTTAATCCCTCTACAAGGATACGAGTGTAATGTTATTAAGCGAGTAAATCGGCTGCCGCAGAACTTTTTCTTGTTTCTAACAAAAAAAAATCAGGCAGCACTTTTAAACCACATCGTCATAATTAGAAGTTATGCTCCCTTTTAGATAATCATGAGTGTCTCTTCACTGTTCTGATATGTTTTAAAGTTAACCTGCATAGTTGGTGAGTCAGTTTTCATAATACCAGTTCCTTCTCTTCCTCAGTCCACTCTGTCTTCTTTATTTTCCCTGGTTGCCTCAAACTTGCTCATGAGAAAAACAAGCACCCTTCTTTTCTTACCAGGACAGAAACAATGCTCACATTGTGCACTCTGTGCTGGGTCCTAAAGCCGGCACTTTTCCAGTGTCTCGTTATTGTGAATTTCATACATGGTATAGAGGTAAAGGAAAAAGATCAAGCACACAGTGATCCCCACCAAGAAAGCTGCAGCATAGTTTCTGACAGTTTAAGTTATTTTGACAGGAAGGTAGTTTCAAGCAAGGAGGATCTAGAAGCGTCACAGTCTGGTTAAACATCCATCACTCTCTGCATGGAACAACTGGAGCAGCGAGCAAATGTTTAGTCTGTGGAAATTTAGTTGGTGGATACCAAATTTTTACAACATATCGCCACGTGAGGTGGGGTAGATGTCCATGTGGCAGTCCAGTCTGTTCAGTGCTTTGCTCACACCACAAAAAAAAAACAAACCCTGCAACATAATTATGATTTCTTGCAGTGGCAGGAAGGCAAAGATGATTTTTTTTCTAGACTTTATGAACCTCAACATTCACACTTCCACAAAGAAAGTGCAGGTCACTTCCTGATATGTCTGATGTTAGTTTGCCACCTGCATCACAGGACACCATACACACTCAAAAACAAAACAAACACAGATCACCAGACCACAAGCTTGTCACACACAGGATGCAAGTTTATTATACAGCACTGACAGGAAGTGAGATTGTACACATGTCAGATATGGAATTACTCGTTCCCTCGTGCCCTTCCATTACAATAATATCAGGTTTTCTCACATCTCCAGAAAAAAATCAATTTGTGTGCATGACATAAAAAATGCTTACAAGTCAGCTGGAAGAGAATGAAACGCCATGACAATTTCTTTCTATGACAAATTCCATCATCTAATGGTTTACTGATGGAGGAAACTCTGTTTCATGCAGCATTCCAAGATCTCCCATACAACAGGAGCTAAAGTTGGTAAATATGTTGTGACTAAGACACCAAAAAGACACAAAATGTACACACCCATGATAAGATGAATTACTTTACTTCAGCTGATTGAAGGATTCATTATAACTTTAACTATATCTGCTTTAGAGAACCCATTGTAGCATATTTCTAAATGAATTTGACCTCAGTCAGTGTTGCTTGGCTTTGGTCTTTCTTCTTCTGCTGCAGCAGAGAAACCTGAAAAAGGCCAAAGCAGAGAGCAGCAGTCCAGTTGCTACGGTCAGCAATAGTACCACTACATCTAAACAGTAGTATGAGTACCAGGGCATCTTATAAGCCTCTGTACGCAGGTGTGGAGCCCCTTTGTGGCGCATCACATATTCCACCCAGAAGATGGCCCGATCCATGGGTGGTATTGGCTGATCTCTGTGCAGACGTGAGAGTCTTTGCATGTTCAGTCTGTAGCTGTCTTGATGGAGCACTTCCTTGAGACCTTGTTCAAAACTGTGGCCGTTAACATCAACTAACTCAATGATCTTTCCAGCTCCTCTCTCCTGCAAACGTAGGAGGTTGTCATATTGGTCAAAGAACAAGAGAATGCCAAGCACAGGGACACCATGGTAAATGGCTTCCAGGACTCCATTGGTTCCTCCTTGAGCTACAAAGACTTTGGTCTGTGGGTTGCCCAGGAGGTCGTTCTGTGGCATCCAGTCCACTATCAGAGTGTTGTTGCCCAAAGTGGAGGGATGTTCCCCTTTGTGCCTCCATATCACCTGATCAGAAACCAAAAAAGAGTCAGTATAAACTTACTGCATGTCTTTACAAGCAGACAGACAATGTAATGATGTTAGCACTACTGCAGCCTGAGTGCTGAGCACTTTCCTTGATACTCAAAGATGCTTTACATGACAAATTAGTAAAACCTAGAAATCTAGATTTACACAGTGAACAATTTATTAGGTGCCATTAATCTATTTCCAACCCCTCTATAAATCACTCCATCCGTTTTCTACACCCACTCATTATGATTCGTTGGACGCCCTAGGCAGGGCATCACAGGGCTATATATTCCTTTTTGAATTTAATTTATTCATTCAAGGAATGATTTGTGGATTTTTAATCATTTATTATTTTTTCTGTCTATTTAAAAAGTAGTATTGATTTTAATTTGAACAATGCAGTAATGAGTTAATTGCTGCACTATAATCTCCAGGTCTCTCAGGGTCAAAAGCATTTTGAGTTACACATTTTTAGCTTTTGACATTTCACATCTTTGTAAGTGTGTCACTGAGTATGTGTTACCTTCTGAGGCATCTTAGCAAAGACGCTGGCAATTTCATCTGCAACATCTTTGGGCAAAGCGTTAACCAAAGTTCCCAGACTCATTATAATCACTCCGTGCTCCCCAGCACTCTGAACAAACTCCTCCAGGTCTGCTGGCAGAGGTCGGGCCGGTTTGCACTGGAACCCTCCTATGTAGACAACATTTGGCATTGTGGGCCGGGGGAAGTCAAACACAAAATCGGACCTGAACAACCAAATGTCTGCTTCTTGAAGAAGCGAGATGATTTCACAACCACCTTCTATATATTTATCACAGAGGGCATCGTAGCTTGGCCCCAGCATGAATTTCTGCTGCAACAGTATGATGCTGTAGAAAAACATGTTCTTGATCCGCTGCATGAAATTCATTTTATCAGTTAAGCCCGATCCTGGCACTGGGATATAAGAGAGTGGTGAGGGGGCTATTGCAAAGTGGCCTTCTCCGCTGGTGATCCAACGAACATTGAGCACCAGGGGCAGTTTGAGATATTTGGCTAGTACGACCCCTGTTGATACGGCTGGGTCAGTGAGAACAAGATCATATTGGGAATCCATTAAGCTTTTGACCATATTCTCATCATCAAAGATTTGAGTGAAGGCTTCACACCACAATAAATGGCCCTGAGCAACCATAGAGAGGAAATCCTTGGTGAGTTTGAAGAATGTAAGTGCTGAAGCCCCCTCTCTCTCCGCCTGAAAAAATGGTTAGAAAAAAAGTGTTGAGAAAGTGCACAGCATTTCAATGCTGAAATGACCCAAGTGGGGCCCAATGCATCATCCTAAATGACATACCCTCATATGCTCCTCAAGGTACGAACCAAAAAAGTCCTCATAACCTTCAGTCATTTCAACTGTGATAGATGTATAGAGAGGAGACCTT